ACAGATTCTTTAAGCATTTCATAGAACACTGAGCAAGAGCTACAGTCCTGCTGCTAGGAGGCTTAAGATGGCCCCTGCCTCTGTTTATTTTTCTCTGTCCTTGGGTCACTTTCCATGCATTTATCTAAGTTCCTTCTTCTATAAATCAATAATGCTATTATCTATGTATAAAGATTTGAGGGAAATCTATAAAAATGCATGCAATAATCTTAGAGCAGATCCATACACATGGACATATTCTTCCATGTTGAATACTACAGTAGGACACGTTCAGCAAGAAATCTGTTATCATTCTCCTGGAATTCAGAAAAACAGGAGAGTAAGGTGAGTTTTAGACTAGACCTAGTTACTGGCATAAAAAAATCAATAAACTCCAGTAATTTCACAGTCCCCGAGGATGCAGTAACACAGACACTAGACCATAGGGATGGGAACTAAATCCTTAACAGCAGCAATGACAGTAGAAACATTTTCTTTTCATCAAACCAAACCCTAGCCTCCTCCCAATCTCCATTTCTTCTCTCCTCCTGTCTCCTTCCTTCCTTCCTTCCTTCCTTCCTTCCTTCCTTCCTTCCTTCTTTCCTTCCTCTTCTCATCTCCTCATCTCTCTCTCTCTCTCTCTCTCTCTCTCTCTCTCTCTCTCTCTCAACACAAGGATGTATTCACAGTAACAGACTTGAAATTTTGTCCCAGGAAATTTCCCATAGCAGAAACCCGAGAACTTTATCATGCTCTAGGATTTTGAGTATCTATTCAATTCAAATAGATTCATAATCATTTAATTATAACCTGTCCTGAAAATTTACCATAGCATCAGTCAGAGCTGATGTTAAATGAGCTCTTACCAAATTGATCCAATACCTGATGATCAAAATACTTTGAATGAAATGCTCAAAGAATCAATAAAAATGGTTTTTAATATTTTATTATTTTCATTTTATGTGTATGAGTGCATTGCCTACATGTGTGTAAGTGTACCCATATCATGAAATGCCCAAGCAGGTCTGAAAAGGGTACCAATCCCCTGGAATTGGAGTTAGAGGTAGATGTTAGCCACTATGTGGATGCTGGGACCTCTGCAAGAGCAGCCAGTGCTCTTAACCAATGACCAATCTCTCTAGTCTCTCAATAAAAATATTTTAAAGAAAGGAAATTCTCAGCCACATCTGAAATTATTTCAGGGTTTCGATGTTACCCACACCACTTGCATGATTAACTCCTAATATTCATGTCTCAGATGATAGCCTACTATGTACACTCACGTTTGGACACTGTGAGAGTAGAACGTGATGATATATAATAATTATGTCTGCACAACAGGGCTACATCAAGATTTTTGGGGGCAAACCAAATTTCACAGTCACTAGATCAAAGTATACATTAAATTTTCCTGGAGCATTTATGTGATTTAATCCCAACAGTCATCAAACATTTACTGAGTACCTCTAAAACAAACATTCCAGTAGTTGTATTTTTTCATGTTTTTGAGTGTGAAAACAGAAGTGGGAAACCACATACTGAAGTGGATCCTGATTCTGAGCATAAGACCTCTGAGAAGTTTTTGTAACACAACTTAGTACCTTATCTAGTCACAGTCAAATCAAAGTTGGAGAACACATACAGAGGTCCAAGAAATAGGATCCACGGAAAGATCATCACTCCAAGGCATGGTCACCTGGTAGTAAGCCACTTTAAGAGCAGAGAGGAGCAGAGGGGGAAGCAGTCATATAGAGGGAGGAGAAGGGCATAGTAACAAACTGAGATCTGACAACACACTGGCATTTACTAATCCAAGGATCTTGCAAGTCCAGACTCTGTAGAAGAAAATTCAGAACTTAGAGATCAAATGAATGTTCACCTTTAATGACTAGATAAGCAAATGATGACCTGATTCAAACCACCTTCTGTGTCAGGTCATCATTCTAACCACTACACCACCAGGGAGGCTCCACTCTCTCTGTGAAAAGGACAGCTGGAATCACATTCAAACATGAAGAGGGGAAGGAGTGAGGTCAAGTGTGATAAATGATATTTAAATGTGTCTGCTTCCTCGGTCCTTGCCAAAACAATTTCTCTAAGAAATAAATCACAATTTGAGAATATATCGTTTATTGCACCCTTATAATGTAAAGCATGTGGGGATAAATCCTTAGCCTCCTCATATTTTACAGTTCAGACTTTTGACTTTACAGAGTTCAACCCAATATCATAAAGCTATGAAGAATCAAGATTAGATATTTGAACCAAGATGTATGTGACAACCGAGTGTAAGCGTTTATTCACTGTAGTATTCCCAAGAATAGAACTATGGCATTGTTGAGGGCCAAGGAAAAAGTGCCCATGCGTAACTTTGAGGACATGAAGTCGTATTTGTAAATAGATGCTCATTTAACTTAAGGAGGATCCTGCTATGAGCTGCCTGACATAAGAAGAGATAAGACTGAATGGAGACTACAGCTGTCTGTCTCCCTAACATGCAAATATATACATGTATAAAATAAGCACAAATTAGCATACATTAACTTTATCTCCAATGTACAGCCATGCCAGAGTAAAACATAAATATGTTACATAAAACACTTGAATGCAGTCACATGTACATACAAGCAGTCACAGATCTCTCAGACCAGTAGTCATTCTCATTAAGAGAACTATACTCAGTCTAAATAGAGACAGAGATTGTGTTACTTTGAAACAAATTTATACCTAATAAATTAACACTGCCTGCCACATTACACATTGAACCTGAACATCACACCCAGTCATACACACATACAAACACACACACACACACACACATAAAAAATAGTTATTACACAGAGATACTCATGTAGCCATGAAGTAAAAGAGAGCACTAAACCATAACATAAATATTCTATCAAGAAGAGATGATTTTCAGATCCCTATAATCTATACCTACCTTTCTTACACAAAGAAGTGACTCCATGAGCCAATCCACTCTTAAATACACTGAATTAATACAACAAAACAAACAAGTTATATGTGTTCTCACATAAACACACAATTCTAGTACAGGGAAATGATTACTCATCTTCTTCTGACCTGTGACAAATCCTGATGAGCTCAAATATGTTCTATCCAAGACTTTCATTTTCTTCTTATGAAGAAGACTAACCAAAACCAGGAAGAAGCTTTCCTGCTAAAGGGTCTACTGGATGCTCCTGTCTGTTTTCAAGCAGCAGAAAAGTAGACAAGATGTGCATCTACCAACAAGATTAATGCCCAGGAGAAAACCCATGAGTCTAGTGAGAAAAGGAACCAGCCTGGACTAATTTAACCATTTCCTGTATTGCCCATGGGAGTATATCTGTGAAGGGACTAGATGGACTGAACCACAAGAGATTGAAAAAATGTGCCTGATCTTGACGCTCATGTGAGAAGCATCAGTGATCCTAGTCATGACGGCTTCTGATGCATTGTAGCATGGTCTGAAGTAATTACAGATCACACACTGTCCCCAGACAAAGCAAGGCTTGCCCTCACATCCTCCCAAAACACAAATTCCAACATCTTTATAGCTCATAGATTATTGTTGTCTGAGAGTTTGTGGGTCTCTGTATTCCTCTGAGATACTCCACAGAGCAGATCCTAGGGTTCATTCAGGAGGATGAGTGATGAGACTGAGTCCAAGGTCATTAATCACTGAGCAGAGAACAGTACCAGCTGTGCCCCTTATTTACAATGTCCCTAACCAAGGGCTTAAGTTATGAGCTAAGTAATAACACAAAACATGAAAGCATGAAATTAATGTGCAAATGTAAGTACACGTATTCAGAATGTTTGCACACAGTAAGGGTGGCAGAATAAACCAGTTATATCTTTATTAAAAGTGGTAGAAACAAAACTACTAAAAGTGGTATCAGCAGGTTGGCAGAATAGTTCTCCAGGTTTATATCCCCTCCAAAAAAATCCAATAAGCAACTACAGACAGGTAAGAATGGTAAGCATTCTAGAAATGGAGAGTAAAGCTGAGACATCCACTCTGGACCACAAAAGTGGAAAAGTCAGGATAAAGAGTAAGAAGAATGGATCTGTCTAATTGCATTGCCCCTCCCCTAAGTCAGTAGCCTCCACAATTCAGAAGTTAGCTGAAGGGGCTGGAGAGGTGGCTCAGTGGTTAAGAGTCCTGGCTGCTCTTGTAGAGGACCCTGGTTTGATTCCCAACACCCACATGGTGGCTAAGAACCATCCTTATCTCCAGTTCTAGGGGAATCCAATGCCCTCTTCCGACCCCTGCAGGCATTGTACTACATGGGTGCACTTAAATACAAGCAGGCAACACACTCATACACATAAAATAAAAATAATGAATAAAATAGTTTTAGGTGAGCTAAAGACAGACATTCCTCCTCCTCACAGTTTGGAGACCCTTCATGGAAGGCTCTTTTGATCTGACCCCATGAGGAGGTTGAGGACTACTAATAGTGACAGGTCACATGAGCTGAGTTAAAAACAAAAGTAAGATGAAGTCAGGGAAGGTGGTACCCGCCTTTGATCCCAGAATTAGGAAGGCAGAGGCACGTGAGTCTTACTGAAATCTAGGCAAAGCTGGTCTACAGAGTGAATTCCAGGCTACCTGGGGCTACAGGGAGACCATGATTCACAAAAAGTGAGGTGATGCTATCAGGGAAAAAGGATATGTTTGCCCACAACTTCGCTTCATTCTGACCAAAGATAAGAAAGTACATATGAGAGAAACTAGCCAATAATACCAACTAAAGAAACTCAGTCCATGAGGCTTCAGGGCTTCAGTGCTGCCTGACTTTCCCACATATTCCAGGTGCTCTTGTGGAGTCTTATTTGGACTGATTCAAAGCAACTCCTGCACTAACCCAGCAGCCAGTAATTCCAGCCTGGGAGATGCTGGCCACTGCAGATTTTGGATTAGGGCATCATCAAGGGGAAAATAAACAGTAAAATCTGCATATGCTTGGAGTTTGCGTACTCCTGTACTAGTAACAGTTCTTTACTGGAAGATATTAACAGAAGGGAAAACATGATGGTGGTTTATGGGAAATGTTGTAATATTTTGTAACTTTTCTGTAGATGCAAAAGAATTCTGATATAAAAATATTCATTAAAAAATAACCATCTAAGGTTCTGGATATGATAGTAGACTAGAGGCTGCCTCTGTGAGAGCCTGTGGAGAGACCGATGCTATTCCAAAGAGAGAAATGGAGAGCGTACTTCAGAAACTTACAAAGGAAGTGAGAGGATACAGGAAAAGAATTGAAACTAAGATGTTTCACAAAGAGAAGCAAGATGTCTGTAATTATAAAAATACATATTTAGCATACAGTAAAAAATAGTGTTTGTCTAAGGATGTGACAGATTTTCCCCTATATCTATGCCCTCTGTAATCATGTGTATTTGATTGTGTTTACAGTGCCATACATGAGTTCCCTCCCATTGAGAGGGCTTTATGTCTGTTCTGATAGCCGTTGATTACTCCCAAGATAAAAGTGCCATTTTGAACCACTATAATTTGTTATGCTGGTCATTGTTATGGTTATTAGACTTTGAAGCTAGGGTCGGATCATTAATTAATTTTCTTTCTTAGCAGTTTCCTATAATCCTCCAGAACTATGAGATCTGGTCTTCATGGAGGAGGCTTCCAAGTCACTTCCAGCTCCATTGTTCCAAGTCCTGTGTCTGAATTAAGTCTTTTCTTCATTGATAGGGTCTTACTTTCAAGTTCTGTGAGATAATGAAGGGCTGTGGCAATAGCCTGTGTTATTTTGGGAGTCTCTTGGACTACCCTGACCGACAACTAGAAGGGGGTTTCTCCTGTCTGGCACCTTGTTTCTTGTTATATAGCCTCCAGGCAAGTATACTATTAACCATTCTTCAAAGAATATTCTTTTTGCAACAGATGGAGACTATTACAGAGTTCGACAACTGGTCACACAGAGAATATGTGTTTGAGAGATGCCCGACCCTAAATGACACATCTACACTGGAATATCTACACCTAAGGCTCATAGAGCATAATAAAACAGGGGGTAGAGAGAATACTAATGTGTATCTCAACTCTCACCAGTGAAGCTTCCTCATACAACAGAGTGAGATGCACACAGAAGGCCACAATGGACCAATGCGTAGAGAATAAGAGACTGCAGAGAGTGTGTACCTGGGCAGGACTCCTATATTAAACCTCACCCACCCATAACTCAAGGACCATTGCAGAAGAGGGGACCACAAGAGGTGTGCATGACCATAAGGATAACCAGTCTTCCAGGCCTCTGGGAACTTGCCCATATGAACTTATGGCAATGGACCAGCATGAAAATTCAATAAGACAAAAACCCAGTATAGAACTAGGGGTATCAGCAGTAGGCACAAACCTTAATCGAAGAACTACTGGCAACTGATTACTGCTGGATGAGGGATGGTTGATCTTCTTTAAGGGAGTGATTCTAGATAGGCTGACTAGACCCCAGAGGATGAACCTGCACTGAGGGACATCTGGATACACAAACTTGATTTGATAGGCCTTAACAGATACTCTACAATGCATGAAGTCCAGTGGGGATGGGGCTATGTGGGTGTGGATATGGGAGGGGTTATAAAGATCTTTAAGATGTTTTGTATGAAATGTACAAAAATTCAGTAGAAATTATACATTCAAAAAACCCAGCAAAAAGCAACACCAAGACTCAATCACAAAAATGAATGAAAAGAAAGAGTATAAAGATTAGATTATCAAGATAAGGTAAATAACCATAAACAAATCAATAAGCATCATGACCCCAAGGTCCATGACTGCTGGGACACAAGGAAGAGCTAAACCTACACGTTCCTTTAATGAGGAACAACACTGAAGCATAGAGAATCTGCTCAATGGAAACCCTCAAATTAGAGAAAGAAACACATTCAAACACAAGAGGCATTTAGAACACAATATGCATTACCAAAAAAATTTTGTCCGCAACATGTTATAATTATGACATTAAAAATACAAAACAAAGATCTGGTACAAAGAGCTGTAAAGGAAGAACCAATTTGTTTCTTTCGTTTTTTGAATTTATGTCTTTATTCGTTTGTTTGTTTCTATTTCATTAATTTCAGCCCTGATTTTTTAATACAGGAGGTACAGTGAATGGTGGGGGACATGGATCGGGGAGGGGACCCAAATTGAATTAAGAACTGTTATATAAGATGTACAAAAGTTCAATAATTTTTTTTAAAAAAAGAAACGCATTTCTGATGAGATATATTCTTTCAGAAATATGAGGTCTATATATTTTGATATCATGACAAGTTTTTATGTCTCTAGAGGTAGGTGAGACAATTTGTAAATATTACTTTTACGCTTGGGACTGGAGAGATGAGTTAAGAGCACTGGCTGTTCTTGTAAAGGACCTGGGTTTGATTCCCAGCATCCACATGGCTGGCTGTGAACTGTCCTTAACTCCAGTTCCAAGGGAATCTGAAGCTCTTCTGACCTCTGTGGCATTGCACAACAGGGGTGTGCTCACATACATGATGGCAATACACTAATACACATAAAAAATAAAAACAATAAATTTAAAAAACCTTTAAAAATATCACTTTTACACCTAACTAAAATGGGTAGGGTAGGATACCACGGTGCAGTAGAAACAGCTAAGGATGAGATCATGGGAAATTGCATACCCATGACCTTCTATGTCTTGAGGTCACCAAGATCTAGAAGACAGGGAAGGAAGACAAATCAGAGGATCAAAAAAGGAGGAGGGAAGACAGAGTAAAGGAAATGTTTTGAGCTTATCAGTGACAGGAAGTCACTGCATGAGTTCACTTTATAACACATAATAATCCCAAAACACAGTGATTTAAATGGTAGCTCATATAATAATTCTACAGTCTGGCAATTTTTCCTGGAACCACATTAAGATGGATGGCACGCCTAGACTTGGCTTATTTCAGATCATCTCAACTAGGACTCATCAATGCCCTAAACTCCCTTAAATCTACTTGTGCTGGCGAAGTGCTAGCTGGAGCATCCTTTCTGTGCTTCGTGTAGCCTTCCCTCTTCATTCAGACTATCTTAGATTAATTTGTATGGTATCCTATATGGTGATTTCATAATTACAAATATAGCAGGGATGAAGTCCTTCTAAGCATATAAATCATAAAAATTTCCACCAAAACTAGTAATCAAATCAAGTCACAAAATCTGCACATATTTAAGGATTGAGGAAATAAACACCAAAATTGAAAAGTACAGACTAGTGTGGTCATTTTTGCAATTTACTCTATTCACCTATACAATTTTAAGGGAGTATCTTTGGAAGCATCTTTAGGGAAAGTAAAAACATGAGCACATAACTCTCACTTGGCTCAAATAACTCTTCTGTAAAGTATTCCCAGAGCCAATTTCATGTCCTTGTTTCTCAGGCTATAAATGAAGGGGTTTAACATGGGTGTAACCTCTGTAAATATTACTGAAGCAATTACATCCTTAACATGGGAATTATTTGAGGAAGGAAAGAAATAAATAATTGGAGGAGTCCCATAGTACAAAAACACCAAGAAGAGGTGTGAGCCACAGGTGGACATAACTTTGCAGAACTTCTTCATGGAGGGGACCTTCAGGACAGTAAAACTAATACATATATAAGAGCCCAAAATAGTACCCAATGGAAGAAGAGTCAGCACTCCACCCTCAGTGAAGATGACTAGCTCATTGAGGGAGGTATCTGATGAGGACAACTTCAGAAGTTCATTGAGATCACAGAAAAAGTGGGGGATAGTGTTGTCAAGACAGAAGGACAGGCGGGACAGGAGCAGGGTATGCAGCAGGGCAGCCATACAAGAGAGGAACCAAGATCCAGCCACCAGTAAGTCACACAGCTCCTTTCTCATGATAACCATGTAGTGCAGTGGATGGCAGATGGCCACATACCTGTCATATGCCATCACTGCAAGAAGGAAATTGTCAACAGCTACAAAAAGCAAGAAAAAATACATTTGAGAGATGCATCCCTCATAAGGGATGGCCAGGTGCTGAGTCTGCATGTTGCTGAGCATCTTTGGGATGGTGACAGATGATAAGGAGATGTCAGAGAAGGCCAGGTGGCACAGGAAGAAGTACATGGGGGTGTGGAGGCGAGAGTCCAGCCTGATGAGCAGGATGATGAGCAGGTTCCCCAGCACTGTGGTCAGGTACATGACCAGGAACAGGGTGAAGAAGATGCCCTGCTGCTCTGGCTGGATGGGGAGCCCCAGGAGGATGAACTCAGACACACTGCTCTGGTTCCCCCTCCTCATGGTCCTCTTCCTGTTGTGAATGAAGGAGAAGAAAATATCAGAAACCTGAGATCATCACTAGGCAGACATTATATCCATGCATTTTTCCAGGGGACTACATCCAAATTCTGACAACTCCATACTTTGCAGTCTGAATCTCAAATTGGCTTCATACTAAACACAGGGAGGACATTTCCATTGCTAACAAGATATCTTTAAGAAAGAATGCAATTTTGTTCACTCACACGTGTTATAAACAGTGTTTTCAGCACTGGAAACATAACAGATAATAAAATTCCCTGTTGGAGTACACATTTTATAATATTCATCGAATCTTGAGCAAGAGGTACAGCCTTCATGGCAGGAGGCTTAAGCTGGCCCCTGTTTCAGAAATTTGCCTCTTCCATTTCCATGGGTCACTATCCCTGTGTACCTAAGTTCCATCTTTAAAGCCGTAACAATGTTATCTACTTATAAAAATTAGGTGGAAATCTGGGTTAATGCAATAATAATGTTAGAGCAGATCCTTACACATGGCCATATTCATCCATGTTCATTACTACAGTAGGATAAGTAAAACAGAAAATCAGTTATCAAACTCCAGGAACTCAGACAAGCAGGAGAGTGAGGTGTACATTAGCCAGACCCAGTTCTAACATTTAAAAAAATCGCTAATCTCCTGGAATTTCACAGTCCCTGGAGATATATCCACTCAGAACCTGGAACATGGTGATGGGGATGAAATCCCTAACAGCAGCAATGACATAGAAGCTTGATCTTTTCATTCCACCTAACTATCCCCTCTCTACTCCACTCTCCCCTCCTTCTTCCTATCACCTCCTCTCTCTCTCTTTCTCTCTCCCTATCTCCTTCCTTCTTCCCTATTACCCTCTACACTTCTCTCTCTCTTTCCCAATACAAGAATTCATTCACAGTAACAGACCTGAGAAACTTCCATGCCAGAATCCCAAGAACTTTCCCATGCTTCGAAATTTTGAGTATTCAATGCATAATAGATTCATAATCATCTAATTTATTGCAATATTATTCATAATTTGTGTTGAATGTGTTCTTACTAGGACAGAGGCAATTAATAATGCTATATTGATAAAGTTAGGCATTAAAATACTAATTCTCTAGGGTGTTGAGTAACACATCCCAATCATTCCAGTGATACCTGACGCTGTCACATTTCCAAACATTGTCAATATGATCAGATGCCCTGCTCATCACCACTCCACTGGTCCTACACCGTCATTCATTAGGAAATCCAGGATGGCCATGGTGTTGCAAACCTGCAATCCCAGTACTAAAGGAAATCAAGGCAGGAGGATCATGGGCTTGAGCTGGTATCAGTCACATATCGATTTCTGGGCCAGCCTAAGTCACATAAAGAGATATTTCTTCAGAAAACAAGAGGAAGGGGAGAGAGCCAAAGGGAGAGAAAAAGAGATAAAGAGAGAAAGGGAGGAAGTTAGTTCTCGGCTAAGACTGAAACAATTTCAGCGTTTCAAACTTATACCACACCAACAGCTTGATTGTCTGCTGATGTTCATACACATGATGATTCTGTAGTTACTGTGTGCTGTCATAGCTGGTCTCTTTGATAGAGGAAGATGAAACAACATAATAACTAGGTCTGAACAACTGGTCTCCATCACGCCTTCCCTGGGCAAACCAGAATGTGCACTCACTAATTCATATCAGGCACTAAATTTGCAGCATTTATGTGCTTTAATTCCAATAGTCAGAAAACGTTTACAAAATGCTTTTTTTGGATATTTTTTTCACAAGGTCTCTCTAGTCCCAGCACACCTGGAAATCACTTCATGAACCAGGCTGGCCTCCATCTCCCAGACAGTCAAATGCTTCTGCCTCCCAAGTGCTAGAGTTAAAGGCCCATGCCACTATGTACCCAGAATTACTAATGCATCTAAAGCAGACATTCCAAGGTTTGATTTGATGTTCCTCATAGTATTGAAGTAGAGGTGTAAAGCCTCATGCTGAAGGGCCTAAAGTAATTGCTGGATCATGAGTTTAAGAATACAACTTCTGACATTTTTTAAGGTACAACTTGGTACCTTATTCAGTCAGCATTAAATCGCAGGTAGAGATCACATACAGAAGACCAGGAAATGTAATCCAGGCAGTTGCCACAAACCAAGGCACAGGTACCCGGTAACAAGCATCTGTAAGAACAGAGAGGAGCAGAGAGGACAATTGTCAATCAGTTGGAAACAGAAAGAGCACAGGAACTTTCACCTTCAGTGAGATCTGCCAACCCACTGGCAGTGACTATATCAAATATTTTTCAACTCAAGTATTCTTGAATAAAAATCCAGAAATCAGAGATCAAACTTAATGGCTAACTTAGCAAAAATGACTTTGTTTCCGATCATTGTCTGTGAAAAAGGCAGCTGGACACACTCAGGAATGAGGAAGGGAAGCAGACAGATTTGACAAACGGTCTCCAAATGAGTCTGCTTCCTCTATTTTGCCAAAACAATCCACCTTGGCTCTTAATGAAATGACTTACTGAATATTGATAACACAACACATGCCTGGATAAATCCTTACTGTCAAATTTTATAGTTCAGACTATTGAGCTTCACAGTTTATCCCAATGTTATAAAGCTATGAAGAGTCAAAATTAGAAATTTGAACCAAGAATGGGAATATGTCAATGGTGAAAGATAGTAAAGAAAAGTTCTCCAACAGAATTTAGGGGACTTGAAGTCATACGGGCCAAGAGCTACTTTTATAGATGAAGGAGAGTCTTCTTGGGAGCTGCCTTGATTAAGAAGATATAAATCCTGAGTGCAGAAGGTAACTGTGAGTTTGTTTCCCCAAGGTACACATGTGCAGGTGTGTATACAAACACACTTATTATGCTACCATACCTCTACTTTGTCTTCTACAGATTCGAATACAAGTGTGCTGCATAGGAACAATTGCATGACCAATAAATATACAAGGTACATTTCAGCAATCATAGATCTCTCTGACCAAATGTCATTCTCCTTATAACCCATACTCAGTAGGTTACAAACAGCTGATAAAAACTGCCACACACCACAATACACATGAACATTACACCCAGCCATCCACTCATACACACACAAAAAACATTCTATATCCATAGAAACACTCATGCAGTCATTCACTAACACAGAGCATTCAACCATCATACAAAATATACTATCAAGAAGAGATGATTTCCAAATCTTTATAATCTACATCTGTATTTCTTACATAAAAAAGTGGCTCTGCGGGGCTGGAGAGATTGCTCAGTGGTTAAGAGCACTGACTGCTCTAGCAGAGGACCCAGGTTCAATTTCCAGCACCCACATGGCGGCTACGAACTGTCCTTAACTCCAGTTCCAGGGGAATCCAAAGCTTTCTTCTGACCTCTGCATCATTGCACGACATGGGTACACTCACATAAATGCAAGCAATACACTTATACACATAAAAGAAAAATAATAAATAAAAAAGTGGTTCTATAAGTCAATTCCCTACTAAATACACTGTATTAATACAAAACATACATGTTCAAAAAGAAATACACATAGTGTTAGGAAGTGATTCCTTATCTCTTTCTGATCTTTGATAATCCTTGACAAGATCAAATACCTTCTGTTAAAGACTATTTCCTGAGCCTTCACTTTCTGTTCATGAAGAAGAGGATCGCAAAGCAAGAAGAAGCTCTCCTGCCAAAGGGTCTACTGAATGCTCTGTCTATTTTCAAGCAGCTGAAAAATAGTCAAAATGTACATTTATCAACAAGATCAGTGCCCAGAGGAAATGGTCCAAGCTTCTAGTGAGAAAATGAACCAGCATACACTAATTGTCCAATTTCTTGTATTGCCCTTGAGAGGGGATCTGTGAAGGGACTATATGGGTTGAGCCACAAGAGACCCAGAAAGAAGTGTGATTGGCTTTGATGCTGGTGTCTTTAGAAGCACCAGTGGCCATGGAGTCATGGCTTCTGATGTAACCAAGTGTGGTTTGAAATAATCATACATCACACACAGTCCATAGACAAAGCGAGGCCCGCACTCACAGCCTCCCACAACACTGATTCCAATGTCTCTGAATGCTCATAACTCATTCCTTCCTGAGAGTTTGCAGGTCTCTGCATTCCTCTGAGAAACTCCACAGAGCAAGTCTTGGCACTTGATCAGGAGGTTAAGCAATGAGACTGAGTCCAAGGTCATTAAACACAGACTGACCATAGAACAGTACCTGCTATGTCCTTTATTCACTGTGTACCTTAACCAAAGTCTGTAGTTCTCAGCTAATTAGTAACATGAATCATAGAAATTAGAAAATTAATGGATACATGTAGTACATATTCAAATCACAATTCCCTTGCACAGTAGTGGTGGTATATAAGTCAGATATATCTTCAATGTATTAAAAGAAAACTATTAACAAATGGCATCCACAGGTTGGCATAACAGTTCTCAGGCTCTATATCCTACCTCTCAAAAAATCAAATTAATGACATCCCTCTGTTTCACTGGGCTGCAGAACCTGCCCACCTCTTTCCTGGGTAAGTCCAGCAGTGCTCACTGTGCCTTGACTCCCCCAGCCTTATTCACTCTCCCAGCTTCCCTGCTCCATCTCTCCTCCTAGACTGAGTACTGGCCCATTTCTTTTCTTGGCACCCCAGGCACTGGGGCCAAACTCTGGGCCTGGCCCCACCCTCACCTCCCTAGGCTGCCCTGGGCTGCACAACACGCCAGCCTCTTTCCTGGGTAAGTCTAGGGGCGCCCACTGTGCCTTGACTCCCCCAGCCTCATTCACCCTCCCAGCTTCCCTACCTTGTCTCTCCTCCTAGCCTGGGTATTGGCCCGTTTCTTGTCTTTGAACCCCAGACACCAGGGCTGATGTCTAGGCTCAGAGCCACCACTGCTGCCTGATCATTTTCATCCAGACCAACTCAGTTCCTCCCTGCAGTCCCCAGAAGCCCTTGGGGCCTCTTCCCACACACACCTACCTATGCATCCCTGGGTGGCATGGATACCA